CCTTTTATCACCATGAAAGGATATTGTTTGGAAGTTTGGAAGCAGATGATTCGATTACACAAATAGCTAGTCACAGAAACAGAGTAAATGATAACTATATTATTATTATTAGCATCAAAATAAATATCATCAGAGTCCTACCACTCATTTCTAAAGAGTGCATAAATCTTTGTATCCTGCCATCGATCTGCATCCACAGTGGAAACATCCACCAATTCAGAGAAATGCTGTTTTCTGTTACGATCTCCACAGAAGAGCCTGGCATTCATCTGGGATGTCCAGGTAAACTGCAAATTGTTCTTGGGACCACCAACATCTGTCTAGAAGCAATGGACAGTCAATCAGTCATGATGTATTTATGTTTATTTAATTTTTTAATGTTGGTGGCACTATTTTGGTCTTACCATGCAAACCTGGGTCACAAAGGGGAGCCACATTTCACTGAACAGTCCATTGTCTTTGCTTTTCTCCCTATAGAAGCCATAAACTCTGTTCTGGGAGGGATCCTCTTCACGTTTGCTGAGCACCAATCCTACATAATGCTGTTCTAAACATTGAAAGACAAAATATTTATTTGGCTCCAAACATTTATAGTGATATGTCGCCGGCTCTAACTTTATGAAAATACCTTTATCGTGGTTCTTTGGCAGCACTATTGCTTTACCAAATTTCTGAATACCAACAGATTCATCAAATCCAGAGTGTGTTATGTAGAAAGCTGCACTCTGTTCAGAATCTGGAAAAAACAGTTGCAAATTAAAGTTTTATAGTGATGTGCAAATGGGGAGAAACTAGTTGAATATCATAGCAATAAGAAAAAGAAGCAACCTTTAGAATGGATTGAGTTGATTAAAGGATGTTAGTAGTTTTGACAAGAGCACAGACTTTCTGCAAATTACACAATCATTGAAAACAAATGAATGAAATAGCAGGGATTCATCCGGAGATTTATTATAGAGCATCCTCATGTAGAAAAACTCACCTATAAAAACTGATGGTTCACCCTCCTTTATGTTAAATCTTTCTATACCTTCTATTAAGTTTGCGATATTTTCAGAGGGAAGGCACATGGGGGCCTCCACTGTTAAATCCTATAAAAAAAGCACAGCACATCTTAATATATGCTCCCCAATGCACATCACATATAGCATACATGCATACTCAACACTCAGTTTCTATATATATAGTTTTAAAACAACCACATGTGGGTAAGCAGGAAGTGCTGTGATTTATTTTCTTCATTGCATAACCAAAATATTTTTGATTTAAATATGTAAAAGTACAAGTGGCTACTCAACCCAGTGAAAGGCACCACTAA